AATTGTGTCCTGTTAAATATTATAAAGATGGTCTCAGCCTGCGTTTTTGACAATGGATTTTTGGCTCTGGATTTGGAACAGAGGAGGGATGTCACGGGGCAGAGATGAAGCTCAGTGGTTCTAACTGAATCTTGGATCAAAAGGCTGAAATCACCCAAGATGGGTGATTTCCTCCCAGGCTACTGGCTCAGCTCACTCTGTGCAGGTGAAGTCTTCCCTTACAGAACAGCAACAGTTAGGTGACAGCAAATGTGCATACAGGTGCCTGTTTGGAGAGGAGGTTTGGTATTCCCGTGCTTTCCCACAGCTATGTTTAGCTGCTATTTCATGTTTTGCTGACCTGATTTTCAGCAAGTCCCCTTAGAGGACCTGAACTAATTGAATTCTACCCTGAAAAAAAAAAAAAAAAAGGCCTCATGACAGGTATAAGGGGGTGAGAAGACCAATAGCCCTTGACCTCTGTGTCCTAATTAGAATTAACAGCCAAAGTAATGACTTGACTGCCCAGGCTGTGCTGCTATCCAGTTGGGAGCACTGTTGTCTCACGGGCTCTGTTAATGTTTTGGGGAGAAACGCTCAGCCAGGGTGATGGCAGACAGAGCAGCGAGTGCCAGAGCTGGGGCACATCAGAGCTGTATCCAGTTCAGGGTTAGGATTAGGCCTTTATTTAGTTGAAAGCAAAGGCTGTATTTTTCTCTTCTTACTACTCTGCTCCTGCCTTGACTATCCCCGTGCCTGGCACAAGAACCTTTCCTTTTGTTCTTGCCAGTGGAGGGGAAGGTGGCACCGACGTGCTGGCCTCCCGTGGTCTGGTTCGGCTCCCAGCGATGGTCTGACTGGCTGGGTTGCTGCTCTAGATCCTGCCCAGACTTAAAACTGGCATGAGGGAAAGACGAATCTTAATATAGGTTAGGGGCTGAATTCAGAGCTGGTTTCTGGCTTTGTGTCATCCAGTAAATTATGGGCATGCTTCAACATAGGCTTACACACCAGCCTTGGGGACAAGGAAGCAGTTTTGGCAGCTGTAGGAGCATAGTGCTGATTTGCCCTGAACTTGCAAATATTTTCCTCTGAAAACATATGTAGAGCATTGTCTTCTTCAAGCTGCAGGCGAAGCTCTACTTGGCATAAACTTAATACAGCTGCTTCCCAACAGTGGGCATCTTAACTGGTGACACTGGCTTTTGAAAGAGTACACCGGTAACTGTCCCTTTTCCTTGCAGATGCAGGAGTGATTGAGAGGGAGGAAAACTTGAATTCTCAGAAAGAGACTGTTGTCCAGGAACCAATGGTAAGTAATGCCATCATCTGGATGCAACCATAGCTCTGAATAAGAATCCAGCTGTGTAATTTAAGTCGATGCTTTCCCAGAAGTTTCTATAGCATGCAGCTCCAACCTTCTGGGTTCTGGAGGGATTCAGAAGGATAAAGAAGACTGGGGGTTTTGTTTTTATAACCACTAACATGCTTGAAGAAAGGTGCTACTGAAGTGCTACAAGCCAGCACTTTCTGCTTGCTGGTGAAGGCAGAGAGCCTTCTGTCTCCCAAGGGAATATCCTGCTTGGTATTCATTCACAAGAGGCTTTTCTCGTCCAGCTGCCAGATGATGCTGCAGATCCTGCCCAGGATCCCAATAACCAAGGTGAGGATGAGTTTGAGGAAGCTGAGCTGGAGAGGCCTGACTTTGAAGAGAAGGTGGGAGGTTTGGAGAAGTTCAAGGAGCCCAGCATGAAAGAAGAGTCTAAGGAGAAGCCACTGAAGGTGACTGGCATGAGGGCAACCAGCAGGGGCCAGGGAGAGATCCCAGTTATGAATGGGGGGAGTCAGAGAGCTGAAGGGCTCAAATGAAACCATCATGGTCCTGGATGGATCCATAATCCCACTGCAAGGCTAAGGCAGGCAGGCAGGAGAAGCCTCTTCCTCAGTGAGAATTGATGGGCTGGTCAGTGCTGGAACTTGTTCTGGCCCTGTCCTCTCTGCTTGTTGAAGTCAGCCCTAGCATTTGCAGCACCTACACGGCTGGAGAGAGTTGAATAGGCGATGGCTCATTCCACAGCTACTACTGCAGAGGTGCTGTATCTTTTCAAGCACTTGAGACCCCAAAACCAGAGACAACAGTATGGGCTGACACTCGGGGTCTGGTCGGTGCAGCCATGGCTGTTCCTGGGGTGGGTATGCAGCAGGCTCTTGGCAGCAGTGACAACATGTGAGAATTCTGCCTCCTTGTCTGCCTGCTTGCAGATGGAATCCATTTATTTTGCAAAGTGTTTCTTGCTGTCTGAAGCCAGACTCTGCATCAGGGAAATGTTAGCTTGTTTTGACAAGCAGCTGAGTGTTGCTTGTTTTAAAAAGGAGTGTTTTATCTGTCAGGCTCTAAAATCATGATTAATAGTGAGGTTTAAAAAAAAAAAAAAAAAAAAAAGGAGAAATCCAGGCCAATGAAATCAAAGAGATGCTGGCACCAACAGAGCAACACCTCCTTAAGATTAGAGAAAATGTGGAAAGAATTAGTGACATAAATACCTGACTTTCAGATAGGGCTGTGCTGTGTTCCCTAGAGCTCTGCCCTAAATAACTTGCAGATTCCCTGCAGTTCTGGGACTTGATGCAACAGCAGCATGTGTGAGGGACCTTCCTGCTGCAGGCAAGGCCTCCCTCTCCACACTGGAAGGAGCTGGGCAGTTGCTGCCAGCGGGTGGGAAGAGAGACTGGATAGAGAAAGTACAAATGGACTTTAGGTTGCCTCATTGTCTCTCTTCTGCCCCCTGATTCCTGACCTCTCTTCCAGACCTGGGGCTCTAATGCAAGGGAGTTGTATACCTGTCAGGGAACAGAAGTAGGTTGGGTCACTGTCAACAGTGTCTGATTTTCTGTATTTTTCAGGATGCTGGCAGACCTGCCAAGCCCGGGGAAGACCCAATGGATGACTATCAAGAAGATCAGGAGCAAGAAATTGTACGACACCAAGGTTCTTCCTCTTTCCCTCTCTGGTGTGATTGTTACCTGGGTATGTTGGTAGCCAGGAGCTGAGTATGACTCAGCTTTTGGGAAATCAGATGTGAGCACTGACTTAAGTTTTGTCTCTGCCTGCTCACTGAGGTGGGTCTCCAGAACAAACCTGGAGCCCACTTACCTCTGCTCCCTTTTTAAGGTGTTCAGAGTACCCTTTATGCTCTATCTCCCCTCCTCATTTCTTTCTGCAGCAGTTGAGCTGTGAGATGCTTACTGAGCAGCAGCTGGGGTGAATTACAAGCTGTGCTGGTGCAGCTGGGCAAGATCAGTAGGTGTTTCTCCAAGCATCACCCTGGGTTTACTCCTGTGGTGAGATATTGACTGGAGCCCTGTAGTCTGCTGCTGCACAGGTCCTACTGGGTCTAGTCTGTGTGTCTGTGGAAGAGCTGGGGAGAAGTACACCAGTACTTTGAGAAGGGTCACTGGGTTACATCTATCAAGTCAAACAAAAGTATGGGTGGCAGAAGAATGTGACATCCCACCCCCAACGCAAGTGTAGGAGGGTGGTACATTGGTTGGGACACAGTTGCCAGGAAGCCACTGCTCCTGTTTGGCTGAAAACAGATATTATTGCTGTGTCTCAGAGCCCCAGGACTACTGTAGTCAGCGGCAAGTTGGCATTCCTCTAGGAGAAAGATTGGAGGCCACCAAAGATTGAGAGCATGATTACTAGTGAGGATCATCCTGGTGCCTTCTGGCTCATGTAGATAGAAGTGAAGGATCCTCTTCCAGTCTTGTTCATCCTCACCTTGCCCTTTGTGAGTGGCTGCTGCAGGCTTTTTCTGCGGCTTCTACATGATTGCTGAGGAATTGGGGGTTTGGGCTGCCTGCTGGGAATAAGGGGCTGGGGGAATATGGGGTGGGAAGAGCAAAGTTGATGTCAGAAGCTATCCTTGCCCTAGGTATAGAACCTGGCTTGTACACAGGGTAGTTGGACCTAAAAGTGCCAACGGAGGCTGTGCTGGCTGCTGCACATGGTGGGTGGGATTTGTTACAGCTTTATATGTGTTGTATGTATGATATCATCTTCTACTCGTGTAGCAGTGACAACAGGCTGAGATGTCCAAATGGCACTGTCATGCCAGGATATTAAACATGCTTCAAATGAACAGGCTGATTATGGCAACACAGGCTTCTTCCCTCTGTGTCTTGGCTAAGTGACTCGCCAAGGACACCTAAAGGTCCCTGGCAGAGATGGATTCTTCCCTGTTTTCCTGAGTTTCCCAAGCTGGGCTGGTATGGTAGAACAGCTATACTTGGAAGCAGCATGGTGTGCTGCTAGGTAGGGTCTCCTTTTTGAGGCCTTGCTGATTTTTTCCTTCCTGGCTGTTCCCTCTGCACCCAGGAGGATCATGGAGGTGAGGTGGATGACAATGATGACCTGGAACTTGTCCAAGACCAGAAGGACCGTGCAGGCATACAGGGAGCTGATGGCAAGAAGGACGACTACTACTGAAAGATGCTGAAGGAAAATGGAATACGCTAGGAATGAGGGGATGGGAACTCCTCCTGGGAACTGGCTCCTGTATTAAACACTGCTCAGAACAAAGGCCAGAGGAGATAACTCTCTTCACAGGCACTGAGCAGGGTGCTTGCAGATGTGCATTACATCGACGTGTGTGGGGCCATTGATGCCTCTCCCGTTAATAGCATGGAAGTGCTCTCGGACTGTAGGAATGATTTTATCCTGCTGCTTCTCTTAGAAGCACTTTTTGATTTATTGTGTTCTTCACCCTCTTGTTTCCCCTATCCCCTCCCAAGCTGGAGAGTTTTTCTTATTTTTTTTTTTTTTTAACACCCTGGGTCAGCAGAGGGATGCCTGAACTGGTCCTTGGACTTACTTGAGTGATTGCTAATACAAAGGAATCTGTCTTCATAAAATATTTTGCTCAGTAGTGTTTCTTTAAAACTTCCTTTGCTCCCATCAGAGTAAGGTGGGGAGAGGAAGTTATCCTGCTTTTTGTCTGGAGTAATGCAAGGGTGATAGCTAACCATGAACATCAACAGAAATGACCATGTGCCGGCCAGTGTGTGTGTGTGTGTGTGTGTATGAATGACTGGATCCTCTGCCTGCTGCAGAGATACTTCCCAGTGACTGAGAGTGGAACCCTGCAGAGTTCTCTTTCCTTGGATTTGAGCTGTGACTGTCCTGCTGGGCTTGGAGCCTCCACATCTAATACTGTGCATCTTGACATTGCTGCTGCACCCTGGGTTCCTGGAGGTGTGGGCTGGCCTGAGCCAAGACAGGCTCATCTGCGATGGCGACAGGGACTGCCACCCACAGAAACAACTGCAACCCTGCAGAAACCTCTGTAGGTCAGCAGCTGTGGGGAATGAAGCACTTCATGGCACAGCTGCCTGTCCCTCTGATGGGATATGCTATTTCATGTAGCATATTGCTGCTGTGGATGCCCCCAGTGGGACACAAACAGTGTCTAGGAAGGGCCAGAGTATCCCCTGCTTAAAGCTTTCAAATGCAAGCAGCAGGATGGGAGCGTATATCCACTTGTGTGATGGGTGTGTTTGCTCAAACGTTATTACTATTTGGGATGCAGCTGCAGCATCCCAGCAGGGCTACTGCCCTCCTCAGGCTGTCGGCAGAATGTTTCAGAGCATGTCCCAGCCTTACATCTGCCTCTCAGACCCATGACCTCCTCCCGCTCTGTCTTCCTGACATACACTCAGCTTCTGGCACCTCCCTAGGGTGCCCAGGTTGTTCAGGATTCCCAAGCAAGCATGAAAGGCTTGTGAAGGATTAAATTTGGTACACAGGAGGGGGAAAAAAAAAAAAAAAAGTAAGGAAGAGTATCATGATGGTAGATATGAAGGAATATTTGGAGCCTGACTAATGCAATTCCGTCCTGTTCAGCTTCTTTCCAGTCTCCCAGCATTTGACAGGGAGCTAAGATAAATTTTGCTCCTTCTAGACAGGTCGGGTATTTAATCAGCAAGTTGGGGGGGTATTTCTAGTGTTTTGTTAATTCAGTAGATTGTGGTGCTTTACTCAGACTCCAAAACACATCTTGCCTGACCTCAGATAGAAAGAGGGAATGAGTCAGCTGGAGTCCCTGGAATTTAAAAGGGAGGCAGCTGAAAGGAGAATGGGCTTAATCATGAGATCTCAAAGCCTTTGACCTGGTTTAGTCATACGAACAGGGCAGAGCTGTCACATCTCCTACCTTGTGCAAGACCCGTGCATCTGAGCTGTCTTCTGCTTCCTCATCACCGTGTCGGAAGTCCTGGACTCTGGGACCTCACTCATCAACTGCAGCTTGTGGTTGAATGTCATGACCTGATAAAAGATCAGATGAGAGATTTCTGCTCCCTAGTTGACTTAGTTCAGCTTTTTTAATCCCTTGTTTTGGGGCATATTTTGTAAGCACTTTTAGACACTTTGAAAACCAATATTTATCTCCCAATAAACTAGATCTTTTTTATTCTGGCAGTATTGATTTTTTTTTTTTTCCTTCAACTGGTTCTAATGGAGCTTGAAATTAACATGTTATAGGACTTTCTGGTTCTTTGTTTTTATTCTGCTTGTGTTTCTTACCAGCACAATCAGCTGTGCAGGTCAAACTCGGGTGTATTCGAGTAGTCAATGTGGTTGGCTCTCTGCTTTGTATGGAAGCAACAGGAACTCTGCTTTTCCAGATGCTGCCCTTTCGAGACCTACAGCATCAAGTCAGATGGATGGTACTGCTGGTTATTATGGAGTCCAGTAGAATCATGTTGTTAGGACCTCACACACCTGATCTACTGCTTGCTGGAATTGGGGAGGATGTATTTGTGTACCGAGACCGTGAGGAGCCTGATTGCAATGGTTTTAAACTGTGTGTTCCAAAACCATGTGAGGATGCGGAACTCCTCTCAGGTGAATACTGATGATACTAGCTTTTGTGATGACGTGAGTTGAGAGCACTCCTAACTACAGAGTTCTGTTTGCAGCCGTGCCTAGACAAAGTTAAGGAAGTCAAAGACAGAACACCCCAGCCAGGGTCACTGTAGAGCTGTTTGTCAGCAGCAGTTCAGCTGCAACCCACCACTTACGATGAGCCTTCTCAGGCCTGGAAATGAACATTCAATCTGCAGAGCATTCTCTGTGTGCAGCTTTTCTTCTTTTTCTCCCGGCTTTCTTCTGGATCAGAAATCTGAGAGAGGTCCAGCTCTTATTTAAATTAAGCTATTTCATTTGAGAGCTTCAGCAAAACCCCAATTTATAACTAGGTTCCTGATCTTTCCATTTTGTGTGACTCCCTAGAAGCCTACTTTAAGTGTAGAGGTACCCAGGCCTCAGTGTGTGCACAGATCTCCTGAGAAGACAAATGCTGTTGTGGGGATTCTCTACTCATCATACTGTTTGTTATCTTTGTAGGCAGAATAAGCAAAGGTGCCAGAGGCAGAACAGCAGCCAGAGGCTGTTCCAGGGAGTCTAGGAAAAGGTCTATTAGCCAAGTGCCATAGCTCCTCATGTAGCCCTCTAAGGAGCTCACTGCAAAACTATAACAGATATCCAAAATGACTTGAAATGCTTAATGCTGCATTAGTGCTTTATATTACCAACCTTGCTGTATGATGCAATACTTCTCAGCCACCACTGTCTGCTATAAATAGCACATTCAGAAGAGATTAGCTGGAGTTGCAGTTTACCAGTTCAGGTGCATCCTGATCAAAAATGCCACTGATTCTCAGCTGGGCTGGTAAGATGTTATCGTTTCACAGTTCAGTGCAGGATCAATGACCCACACAGTCTGTGGCATGAGCTCCAAACCTGCGTGCCCAAGCTGCTCCCGTGAGATATGTAGTACAGCTCTGTCTGCTGAATCTCATTCACTCCTCTTCTGTGTGTCTCAGCCTGTGATTGTTAAAGAGTATGTAAGTTCCGACCTTGCTGGAAGTGAATCAAGTGCTGGAAATAGAACCCCGGTGGGGGTGCGACTGCATGCTGATTCAGAGAGACTGCAGGAGCTATCTAAATTAGGAGGCAAATTCTCTGCTTTTGCATGCCTAGGATGAGTAATTCTCAAAGTTATGACTTGAAGCAACTCAGCCCTAAATGTAAAGCTCCCTGCTAGGAGAATACTTTAGCAACCGTATGTCGCACGCTGCCCGTAGCTGAGAACTAAGCATCACTGCTCTAGGGACAATCTGCCCTGGCTGTGTCCAAGACTAAAATTAGCAGTGTTGCATAAATTCGTTTGCTGTGGGTGGTTAGCGCTTTCTTGTCTGGTCTATAGCAAGTTGCCCCCATTTTAATACTAGTTCACTGTTTCCTCTAACGGGATGAAGCGGGAGACAATAAACCCAGTGGAGGAGAACCAGAAAAGCAGAAAACCTGTGGTGTTGAGTCTGTCTGAAGGCCTGTAAGGCAATATGGGATGCTACTGATTTTGATATGCTGCCTGGGGGGTTGACTGCTTAAAGCAAATAATAGTGTTTCGCCTGAGGGGTGAACTGTTGGAGCAATATACCGGAGAAGTCCAGGCTGAGTTTTATTGCAGACTGGGGCACAGAAGGAGGTCTTAGGAAACAGCTGGATTACTAAGAGAGAAAACAGTGAGACAAAGTATTCATATGAAGCCAGTGCTGGCAAACTGGCGAAGCCAAAGCTTGTCTCTTGCATAAATAATTGTCTTCTGCTTAGAGACATAGTGCAAGGCCAGAGGACGCAGTCCAGGATAATGTGTAGTTAACATGTAGTGTTGTTACAAATTTTTTTGGTGGGTTGCTCTTTATTTTCCTTTGGACTCCAGCAAGATGATGTAGATGAGATTTCTGTAAACATATTTCCACGGGTTCACGTGATGCCAGAGTATTAAGTGGTTTGGCCACATCTTTAGCCAGATGATGAGAATTAATAGTACGTTCTGTGCCCTTACAAATAAAGGCATGGGTGAGGAAAACATACGCCTATAGATTAGTTAAATGAAATCTGTTTAATGAAGCCTACTTCTCTGAAATCCACTTCTTACTTGGTAAACCTGTTCAGGATTATTAGGCTTTTAGGGGTTAAAATGGGACAATCTACTAGGAGCTTAATGAGATGTTTTCTCTAAGACATCTGAAATAGTTGGAGGAGAAAATGCTCTAAACCCTTGTATACTGTAGGTGTGAACTGTGTGTATATCCCCAAACCAAGAATGTCTTCTCATTTCTAATTACATCTATGACTTGCTTAAGAGTAACAGTTGTTTTTTAAAGATGACTATTGTTCATATTCTACATGATTTGAGTGAGACTGGATGAGGTGAAATTCAGGGATTAAATACGAATCTAACCTAGACTGATGGAGTGTAGGCCTGCCAGGGAATGAACTTCCTTCAGTGCCAATTGCTGCTTTGCCCCTCACAGTAATAGATGTCTTTTCACCTCAACCCACATCTCTCTCCGTGCCATTTTATACTTGACCACCTCTGGAGAGAAGCTTGCCAATTTTGCTGAACTCTCTGTGCTGCTTTAATGTTAGAGAGTATCAACATACATGGAAAAAATGAGGTAGGTGTAAGTATCGCTGACAGCGGTTGGCGTGTTCATACCCTTGTATTCATGCGCCTGAAGAAAAATCTGGAAATCAAAGAAATATGTGTTTATCCAGATGTCTGGTTGTAAAGAAGACTGTGGGGCTCCAGTTCAGGGGTACACCTATAAGCCAAAAATTCTGAGGATGACACTGATGGCACAAGGATATATTCAACAGCTTTCACGATTGTTTAGGTCACTTCAGTGTTCTGTTCAACAACGAACCTGTTCCAGCCTATAATCACAGAACCAGTTATTCTGCTCATAATATGTAAATGGCCAAATCGAAGTCAGTGTGCAGGAACACTACTGCCTTCCATGAGTCAGAGGTTCAGGAAGAATATAATTATCTATTCCAATCCCTGCTAACTTTGGCAGTTGTTCTGGGAAAGACATTTGAGGCTTCCACAGCTTTCCATGAAATGAGGTATCTGGGGTTAGCTTGTTTTTCCCTCTTCTACAACTTCAAACAGAAATATGGAATTAAGTCCAGAGCTAAGTGATGTTTAAAGAGGCAAAACTGGCTTGGTCTGACTCCAACCATCTGCTGGACACCCACCCATCTCTTGGGAAGGGCTGTTGGATCTTCAGCTTTTGCATCCTGGCTGGACTTTCCGCAGGTAAGTTTGCCTCAGCCACCAAGAAGTGCCTTCAGCAGCACAGCACCTCCTGTTGTTCTGTGATACCAAGTGTTTTCTGAAGAGAGAAGCCATTACTACAACTTTAGCATCCTTTTCTATGCTGATCCTATTTTTCCATTGATTCCTATTGATGCCTCTTGGTATCAAAAGAGATTTCTAGCAACTTTCTGTAGGCTAGTAGACATCTGCCAACATTAAATTTTGTTAAAAACTAGATGTGGAAATAACTTATAATACTTGGTATTGTTAAATTAGGTTCAAAGGTTTCCTTGAACTATATACTTTAAAAAGGCAAGTCTTTCAGACAGGAAAAGGTGTCCATTTGGTCATGTTGATGGTTCAATGCATCAGAACACAAAACTATTTAAATGAGTACCACATTGCTGCAAATTACACTTTGTATATATTCAAGTAACACCTTCAATGAAGTCCAAGGTGTATGATTTGGGTTTGTTTTTTGTTTAGGCTATGAAATTAAAAATGGGCTTCAGAATCTTATTTTTGTTATTTTTTAAACTTTATATAAGACAATAAACACTTTTAAAGAAAACTTGCATAGTAATGTGTAGTTCTTGTACTTCCAAGTAGGTAACACATTGGTCTCATTTTTCTTCACTGTGCTGAGGTATATTTCTAGGGTTTTTAACCATGTAACATGATAATTTTTCTATTTTACAACCTAAATATAGACAAATGCTATGAAAACTGGAACAGGACACAATGTAAAATGTGATCAAAACACAAACAAAAAACGTCGTGATTTTTCTGTGTGGAATAAAATCTGTACCTCAGAAAAGACAAGACTTAAAGCACCTCTTGGCAATTTAGCTGTTTAGAGAGTATCTTCAAACATTGCATACGTTAAATAAGTATTGTTGTTATTGTTTCATTAGAGCTCTTTTGTTTCCACATTTAGGCAAGTCTATACTTCAAGTCTTTCAAGGTCGTTCAGAAAGTGTTACGGTGTAATGCCAGGATGGAGCAGTGCTCTGCTTCCTTCAGCCCTCTTCTGTGCTGCAAACCACCTGGCTGTGGAACAAATGCAGGGATTGTGGGTTGGCCGTGCTGCAGGGAGGGAAAAATGCCATGTGTTAAAAGACAGGAGCGCGAAGAGTATCTTCTTCCTTTGGTCTCACAGACTCGTGTGCACCGGATCCCCACAGCTTTATCAGTGGGGCACTCGTGTCTTTCTCCCTGTATTAATACATCGTTGCCGAGTTTCCCTGACTGTTCGCTCCCAAAGGGTTAAAGCAGCCTAGGTTTCCCTACATAACCACGGGAAAGAAAAAAAAAAAAAAAAAAAAAAATCCACCTCACCCTCCTCTTTCTTTGAACAAGGTTTGCTTCAGCTGGCAGCGAGCTCTGCAACCTGCCCTGGACCAAATCTCCGCTGGTTGTGACACCCCCCCGGCAGAGTCACCCCTCCCGCCCGCTGAGGTCCGGCACCAGCGAGCAGTGCTCCAAGCTCCGTTCTCCCCCCGGGCCGAACCGCCGCCCTTACCGGGGGGCGGGTTGCGCAGCGCTCGGGGCACCCCAGAACCGCCCCCCCTCCCCTCCCGGCCGCCGGTCCGGAGCCGGCTGCGCGTCCTGCGCGGCGGGTGCTCCGCCAGCCCGGCGAGAGTTAACGGCGGAGCCGCCTCTCCATTGGCGGCCGGCGGAACGGCTGCGGAGCCCGCGTTTATAACCGGCGCAGGGGCACGCCGCCGCCGTTCCCGCCGGCACCGCGGCTCGGCTCCATGCCGCGGCGGCCGGCATGCCCAACCTGCTGCCGCCTTTCCTCGCCTTGCTCTGCTTCGGGGCGCCGGCGCCCGCCCTGAGGCTACCGCCGGCCGCGGGGCCAGCGCCGCCCGCCTCGCCGGAGGAGCCGTGGTGCCCGTACAAGGTGGGGGCCGAGGGGGCGGCGGGCGGGCGGCTTTGCTTCCGCACGCCGGCCCGCGGCTTCCAGTGCGCGGCCCGGGCCTGCCGCGCCCACCGCTCGCCGGGCGGCGCGTTGGTGGCCAACGTGCTGCGCAACGGCAGCGTGCTGCTGCAGTGGGGGCCGCCGCGCCCGGCCGCCGGCCTCCGCGGCTTCGCGCTCAACTGCTCCTGGGACGGCACCTACACGCGTTTCCCCTGCGACAGCGTGGAGCTGGGCGCCGCTTGCCGCGACTACCTGCTGCCGGAGGCGCACGGCAGCGTGCGCTACCGCCTCTGCCTGCAGCCGCGCTACGCGCCGCCGCGCCCCGCGCCGCCCGCCCAGTGCGTGGAGTTCCGCGTGGAGCCGGCCGCCATGCGGGATATCGTCGTCGCCATGACGGCCGTGGGGGGCTCCATCTGCGTCATGCTCGTCTTCATCTGCCTGCTGGTGGCCTACATCACCGAGAACCTCATGAGCCCGGCTCTCGCCGCGCCGCGCCGCGCCTAGGGCGGCGCTGCCCCCCACCCCCGAACGCGGGTGGGAGTGGAGCGGGGCCGGCCCCCGCGTGTGCCGGCAGCGCCCGTTCCCCCGCAGCGCGCCCGGCGCCGCCTTCCTGCGGCTTTCCGGGGAAGGGGAGCGGTTTCCCAAACTCTGCTCGCGGCGGGTTTTTGTCCCCAAGCCTCGTTCGAAGCGTTGGGGTGGCGCGGGTTTGGCGTGCCCAAACTTGTGGGATTCGAGGTTTCCTCAGTGTTGGGAGCTCTTCTTGCGCCTAGGGGGGCTCGTCAGCCTGAGCCATACGTGGTTACCGAACTCACGGGATCTCAGCGGGTTAGAAGCAAATAATGGCAAAGGTCCACAAGTGCCAGAAAAGTGTCTGTTTTTGAAAGCAAGCGGCAATTCTTACAGAGGGCCTGTTTGAGAAGACTCTTCAGAACACCCTTATTTGAAGCCTATGCGTAAATGCCCTTGCTCTTAGACATGTGCTTGAATTTTTTCCTGAGAGGGGACGTTGCTTGAAGTCAGTGGGAGAACAAAACCCATAGCTCAGTGTGTGCTTGATCCAAAGCCCACCTAAATTTCATTACTTAAGTGGGTTTTGTATCGTGCCTTATGCTGTTCACAAATTCTGGGCCCTAGACTGGCTGCTGTCCAAAACAACAGGGGTTTTCTGGTCAGCTCGAGTGACCATCAACGTCCGACACCGACTGAACCTGCTTTTCTCCCTTTAGAACTGTCATATTGGTAGTTTCCAAAAAGAGCAATGCTAAAGGGTCAACTTTAGTATGAAAATTCCATTTTGTTGTGCAAGTATGAACTGATCCTTAAAGTAAGTACAGTGTAAATGAGCACCATCACTGCCCACTGAAACCCCATCTTTTAGGAATGCTGTATGAAGCTACACTAAGGTAAAAGCGTCTTAAACACAAAGCTCACTAGTGTTGTAGCCGAGCGTTTTGAGCATAGGAACACTCCTTGTTATCTGCTCACTCAATGCTGTAGTAAGGTTTTAGCCATATTCTAGTATTAATTCTATTGTGCCTTAGTGCTGAGAATTTGTCCCATTTATATTGGTATACCTGTTCTCGTAGTCTTCATAGACAATTGTATCTCCTCTAGTGTTTTTGTCTCAAACTAGTGGTTGTTGGTTTGTTTGTTCAGTTGTTTTTGTTCTTTTTTTTAAAAAAAAAAAAACAAACCAAACTTAGGCTGATCATTACTTGAACTTTAATATATACACAAAATAGTCGGTTATCATCTGACAAGTATTTATTTAGTGAGCTGTTTTTTATTTAGTGTTGTTTGTAGTTGACTGCTGTAACAGAAGAATACTTTATATCACTCAAACTGAGCACCTAAAGCAAAAGCAGGGGAACAGATCTTCTGTAAAGGGGTATTGCTATTAAAATACATAAGTTTCATATGTGACCTGTTTGTGTAAATGTTTATCACTGGTGAATGACCTGTATGCTTTTCCTTGTGAAAATAGTTTGTGAAGTATAAACTTACTAGTAGAGGGTAAATATAGAAAGTAGATGGAATCCTTAATAAAATCCAGTATTTGTACTAATCATAATCCGTTCAGTAATTACAGAGTGGCTGAGAAACTGGAGGTCTACATTTCCTCAGGTGAAAATACCTTTTATTTGTTTGTTATTCTTACTTTGTTTTCTTTCTCACATGCAGCTGACTCTAAATTTAACAGTGTTCTCTTTTTATTAACTTGGCTATGTACTTGCTTTAAGCAGCCTGACAATATCTAGTATCACAGTAACAGGAAGATGGTGACATTCATTGATATTGAAGGATGATGTAATAATTTTTCTTTTTTTATCCCTAAGGAGATTGACTGCTTGAAGAAAAGGCAATCAGTCCTTAAGGACATTAAGACAATTTGTATCTTCTAGTGGTTTACTTCAGTGAATTTAAACAGAGAGTAAATTTGAGTCAAAGGTGTTTTAAAGATTTCAAGTCAGTCTTTCCTGTAGCCAGTTCTGCACAGGACGATTAGAGTGGCACTGATTTTGCATATCTTGTCAGCTTCTGTCAACCACTGTTACTGTTTTGTTCTTCATCTTGTCATGAATTGCCAGATGTGAAAATTTAATGTATAAATAATGAGCCTTGTACCACCTTGGCATTGACTTTAATAAATTAAGAGAACAATGAAAAGAAATTGAAACATCACAAATACTTAATGGTTTATACTTAATCTTGTTTGACACAAAGTGGGCAAATCTGCCCAAAGACTGGTCATAATGGTATTCCATTGCCTACTGCAAAATTATGACAACATTTATGGGGAAATTAAAAGAGATTTATTCTCAGAATACTTGATTTTAATTTGCTAGAGGTTTAGGCTATAGGATCACAGGGTAATTCAGGTTGTAAGAGACCTGTGGAGGTCATCTAGTTCAGCCTCCCGTTCACAGCAGGGTCAGCTGGGAGGTCACACTGGGTTGCTCAGAGCTGTGTCCAGTCTTGCCTTGAAATCCTCTGGGGACAGAGGCTGCACAACCTCTGGGCAAGCTGTTCTGCTGCATGACTCCATTGTGGTACTGTCACTGTCCATAGTTGTAAAAAACCAGTCTTGGGCTGCAGAGATCGTCTGGTCCAGCCGAAAATACTCATATCAAGCGGGAGATTGTAGCATCTGGTACAAAGAGCTGGTGATCTGTATGTCCAACAACAGCAGGAAAAGAGGTGCAATACTCAAGATGATCACTTCAGTCTTTTAGATACAGGAAGCCAGATGTGAAATTTTGTATGAAAACTCACTGAGCCAAAAATAAATGATCCGTATCTGACCTTTGAATGAGCTGCCTTTAGCTCCTAGATCCATATTTGTTTACCAAGTCATGCATTTTGTGTGCAGCCAGCACTGTTCATTGCGGTAACACTGATGTAAATCTGAGGCAACTGAGCACCAAATTTAGTTTACATTTTTGTATGAGACTATCCTCAACAAGACACCTCTGCAGATATTTATAAGATACGGTTACCTGCTAAACCAGCACCTACTAGATACTATAGAGACATCATTTGTAGTCATCTCACATTTTCATGCATCTGTCTCTGTGGATTGCACTACAACAGCATGCTGGGCAGAGGACGGACAAGCAAGAGCAAAATATGTAGAACAAGAATGTAAATCCTGATGGAGGAGATTCTGTAATTCTCTAAAGAATTATTTTTATCAGTTTTTTTCCATTCCATGCTTTATAAATGGGGTGTGGGAAATAATATCTAATAGTTTCTCATTCATTTTCAGTGGATTAAGTTTTAATTGGATGCATCTTGGTGTCTGGAAAAAAAAATCAGTATTTCCTATTTCATTTTATGTGACATTAAGCAAAACATCTGATGACCCATTGATAACTGTTTTTTTTTCCTCCATCATGAGTATAGACATTTCTTTTTGGCAATAATGGGGGAAATTACATGTACCATAGACTTGATGTTAATTTGACTCACACAAGCCTATGTGAGACTGCACAGTTAAAGAAAGCTTTATCCAGTATTTGCAGCAATTTCCAAAACATCCAGAGTACTTTGTAGAGTTATAATTAATCCTGGCCTGTCCAGGCAGCAATAAAGAAATGGCACTATGCTGATTTATAACTGCAAAGAAGCTGGCTGTTATGTACCTGATGCTTTGGGGAAAAGTGGAAATAGCTTCTAAGGCAACTACATATTCTCCATATTACTATACAAGTACCTGGGTATTCAAAATCTGTATAGTACACTCTTAGGTGGTATATGGTCCTGTGTTTATCTGGTAATTTCCAGTACAAATATCAAGCCATATCCATTTCTGCAGGAGTTAAAATGGAGAGTGATATGCTCATTATCAAGCTTTTTTGCCTTGCCCTGTGCTAATCGTGAGGAAACCAACTGCTTAAATGTAAGCAGCACAAGCTCAGCCTGACCCCAACTTTGAATCTTGTGGAGGAAACAGTCTGTGCCTCAGGCAAAGAATCTTTCTTAATTCCATTATGATCTTTTTTGTGGTACATAAAAGGAAAGGCTGCTTGGCTTTATTTGGAGGTGCAAGTGAAAGCTGGTATTTTGCTTCCATGGAGACCTGGAGTTGTAGTCTTACAAGACTGCAAACTGCTGCTCTCTTTCACCAGTATGTTCCAAAAGAAAGGCTAGGAAGAGTGGGCTGAAAGGAGAAAAAGTGGCAGATAGCAGTTAACTGTGTCACATTCATGTTAAAGGCTTATGAATTATAGCAGTGATGCCTGGACAGGGTCTTTTGCAGTTTTCGCCTGAGCAAATGTACCCTGACTGGTATTGCTTCATTATAGATCTGGTCAGTGCATCTCCTGTCTTTACACATTGTCTGATCTCATCTGGTAAAAAATTGCCCAAACCCCTTGTTTTGTTTTCACCTGAAAGAATGTTTTCTGATGCAGAAATTTTCATATCCCAATGTTTGGCTTGTCATTTAAATTTCACTGGCAGTATTTTAAGCCTGTTTTACTGAAATGTAAATAATGGCATAGTGCAGTACAGTATTTATAAAATGTGCCAAGAAAACCCCTCCAGAAGTGATTTTGATGGAAGACTTTCCCCGAGGAGATTTCTGGGCATTGACCCATAGACCTCTTTGTACCCTTCAGGTAATTAATTCACTAACCAGATATCCCAGAATCACCAGATGATTTGCAGGATGCCTTTGCAGAAAAAGAAGTAACAACTGGCTTTTCAGCCAGCGGGGCAGGTTTAGCAAGAACGGCTGAGAGAAGACCCAAGGCAGGAGGTTTTAGCAGAAAAGGCTGAGCAGAAAGGTAGGCAGGTTTCAGTGGGGAGTGGAGAGGGGAGAAACATGGGCGGGCCATGCTGAAGAGCGGCTAAGGGAGAGAAGGAAAAAAACGTTTTGCCGAGAGGGAGGCAGGCGCTAAGGAAGGGAAGGGGGAGAGGCTTTTCTCGGGAAGTGCTGAGGGGAGAGGGGGGACGCGTTTAGGCGGGAAACGCGGGCTGGCAGAAGGGCTTCATCTGCACGCGCCGGGGCGAGACGTGAGGCGGGAAGATCTGAGGTGAGGGGAGCGGTTTGCCCTAAGGGTTGAGGGGACGGAGAGAGGGAAACAATTTGTCGCGAAATTCGAGGGAATAATGAGGAAAGGGGGTTTGGTTTTTTGCTTTTTTTTTTTAAATTTTTTTTTTTTTATTTTATTTTTGTGTGTGTGTGTGTGAAATGCAAGAGAAGAAGGGGAGAGGTTTTACCAGGGCGCTCTGGGGGAGGGCGAGGCTTTTGTGGAAGGTGCTGAGAGGAGAGCGACGGGTCTGTGAGCAGGTGTTGACAGTGCTGAAAGCCGGGAAGACACTCCGTCTGGTAGTGCTCATGGGAGGGAGAGAGAAAGGGTTTGTCAGGGAGTGCTGGATGTATGAGGAAGGAGACGTTTTGCAGGGAGATGTCAAGGGGGTAGTGGTGAAAGACTTTCTGCGGAAAGTGCTGGAGGGAAAAAGGCTTTTGTGCCTTTTTTTTGATTTCTGAAGAGCATAAATAAAATCTACAGAAGGAGTTAGGAAATAAATATACAAAAAGAGGCATTAAACACGGGAATAAAAACCAAAAAACACAAGGGGAGGGAGGAAAGATTTAGCTGGGAAGCACTGAAGAGAAAGAGGTGAAAGACATTTGTGGGAAGCGCTCAGGGGAGCAAAAGGAAAAGCTCTTCTCAGAAAGTGCTGAGGTGATAATGGGGAAAGAATTTACCAGAAAGCACAGAAGGGGAAAAAAGTATTAATGAGAGGGCAGAAAATATTTTTAGGAACCACAGAGAAGAGAGAAAGCACCCCCTCCTGGGCAGAGTCCTGCCTCACTAGATGAAGTTCAGCTGGGCTGGGGAATAGAGTTTTTTCTTCGATGTCCTGATCTCCTATACTGTATTTCTCTTGCTTCTAGTTTCCCGCTCCTGCCATGCAGAAGTGTTATAGGTAGATTAAGGCAAATCACATCCAAATATGGATTAATGAATCTTTATTAAAGTAAGAGAGCAAATGCAGCGCTGGGGTGGCCGAGGAGTCGCAGCTCTGTCCAGGCTCACCAAATTGTTTAAGTTTCAAACCCCCTTTTATCCATACAGCTGCCGGTTTCAACACCTTCAGCATGCCTCCTGGCTTCTTCTACAATCTTATCTTCTTCTTTCTTCAGTCTTGTGGTCACGTACACCTTGTCCTTCAAGTCTGGGCCAATTTGCAGCTCCTTTGTCTTTTATGGCTCAGTGGTTTCAGCTCCTCTCTTATCTCAAGGACATGGGATACCAGAGATGTCCCATTCTGTTCTTTTTCATTCCATTGCAAAGGAGTTGCCATCCTTTGATATGGATCATCTGGTGAGCATCCCAAGGAGGGGGGGCTGTTGGGTTGGTGTTTCCTCAGATCAATTCCCTCCTTTTTGCAGTAGTAAAGTCTTTTATTTTTCTTAAAATTTGGATCATTGTACTAATAATAGCTTTAGCCTAAAAAGTAATTGTTTAATTACTTTTAGCGAAAGCAAAATTCTTCTATTATTTATCACAGAAGTGAGCAAGACGAGGAAAGCGTTGGAGAAACTGGAAGCAACAAGCGAGGAGAATCTGCAGGCTGTTTATGAGGGCAATGATGCAAGTCCCAGAAGATGGAGGAGAAGGACCTTAGACAGGAGCACTTCTCTGAAGGTAGGGCCTGGGGTGCAGATCCACATTCCCTGGTGCTCCCAAGCCTTTTTGTTGCGTGGAGCAGGAAGCCTCCCTGTAACAAAGGCTGGGGTCTCAGCTGGCTTTTGCTGCGCTGAAGCTTTTTGTGACCTCTGAGAGTGACAACCCTGTAAGGAGGGTGGAAGTCACGCTGCTGCCATCCCTTTTCTTGGGAGGAGGGAGCTCCTGAGTGGCCTGAGCTGTGGGATCACCCAGTAAATGGGGTCCTGAACTCTAGGCCCTCAGTACCCTGAGGCTCTGTAATCAGGGTCGAGGCATCTGCCCACGGGGCTTCACACCTGCGTGGCAGTTATTTCCACAGACCCCACCTGTACCTCACGTGCGTGGCCTGAGGCTTCACGGCCTCAGTGCATGCCACGTGCTGCACCTGAAGAGGAGCTGTGAAAACCTCTAGCGTCTAAGCATCAGCCACCCACGAGGTGGGCTGGGCATAGCTTTGTACCTCTCTCGCTTTGGGAGAACAGGAGGCATTAGTGTTTGAGATTGG